AGGAGCGGTTGCCTTGACCAAGGAACCAAGGGATCATGGCAGATCTCGACATATCGACAGGAAATACCATTTTATTAGACATCGGGTAGAAGAGGGACTCCTCGTTGTGAAGAGGGTATCGTCATAAGATAACCCAGCAGATCCCCTTACGAAGGGACTGAGTAGGGTCAAACATTTGAAGCACGCTAGGAGTGTTGGGCTAAAGGACGATATTAGTTTAGATTAGATAGGTAGGAAATTTGTAATGGATAATTTTGTATTCAACATTTTGATGATTAAATAAAGGTGTGTTAGTTACTATCTTGTGTTGATTATTTATCTGTTATTTCCATTTTTGCATGTTTTGACTTCCTGAATAATGAGATTGTTCGAACAGTCCACAATCACTCATATGTTGGAAGCAGATATGAAAGAAGATTGTCATAAATTTGTTTGTAGATTGTCTAAAAGGTTTTAGACATAGCAAAGGTTTGCTACAAAGTTTGTGAGTGCTTATGAAATATGTTTTGAACATTGGAATAAACCCGCACTTGCTAGTATCACTTCATGAAAGATATCACAAGTGATCGCAAGATGATAATATCATATAATCTTTAAACCTAGACATATGGTTATTGTTTGCTAGTTGATTATGCATTGATAATACGAAAACACATCAGTAACTTGATGTTATAAAACGTATTATTGTGTGTAACTTAGCTAGTAGATAATAAAAGCATATAAGTCGAAGTTTTCTGTTCCTTTTATTCTAAGAGTATAAAAGCGATATCTTGGCCACTCGATGATTTGGTTTGACTTATGTGCCGGGCCCGGTCAGGATGAGGTTGATGTGTTCAACTGAATTCTATGTCGAACAAATCAGAGATCGAGAAACAAATGTTGAATAATAAGTATTGTCGGCATGATATCTAGAATAGAGGATTATACGATCCCTTATCTGAAGGACAGGATTTTGATCAGAGTTGACAGAAGCGTGTAAGAGCTACGATTGCTAACCGGATCCTGAAGTCGTATGTGAGATATAGTTACTAGACTTATCCAAGTGGGAGACTGTTGGATTAGTGTCTAAGCCCGTAACTATATTTGGTATGTACTTGACCCGGTTATGCATGGTCCTTTTGGGTTGCCTTCACCAAAGCAACTTGACAAGGTAATTTAAGGAAAGAGAGAGGATATTATGGTTTATTAATATATTATAAGAATAATATATTAAAGGAGAAATCATATTTATTTAATTAGTATTAGTCATAAATTAATTAGGAATTAATTTGGTGACTAAAATAGATTAATTAAATAAAGGGGCATAAACTGTCAAATATGTGATAGTTGAGTTTTTGGGCTGGGAAACCTAATGGACTAAGGGGGAACGAAATTATGATGAGGGATCATCATATTTTCGTCCAAGGGCCCTATTCCAGAAGGTTCCTTGGGCTACTTGGTGGCTAAGGTATCCATTAGGGTTTAGACTGAAACCCTAGCAGCCTATAGTATAAATAGAGACCCTAGCATGCAATTTTCGGCCACTGATTCCCAAGAGAAACCCTAGGGCCGATTTTAGCATTGTCTTTCCTCTATCATAATTGCCTTCTTGCTTGTGTGGTGTTTGTGATCCATTAGAGGAATTACAATTGTGATTCTAAGCTCAAGAGAAGAAGATTCAAGCTACTATTGGAAGAGGTAAACATCTAGATCTGATGTTATATGTTAATTTCGAAATTATGTTTGCTAGATTAGGGTTTGTAAGTCTTGGATTCATTGCATGTACAATATAGAAACCTAGATCCAAGCATTAGGGTTTGTATGAGCACATAGGATTGTTCTTATGTATAAAACCCATCAGGTTTGTGCCCTAGAAGCTCTAGAAGGTAAAAAGCTTCAAACTCTATGCATATATGTATAGATCTAGCCATTTTGCTTTAAAAGAACCATTTCTTGTCCTAAAAAGTCCCAAGATGGTGCATGATGTGATTTGGACAAAATGAACTGTCCTTCTAGACTCTTGAAGGAGTTTTTTTTTTGAACCGGCGAGATATCTCCACAAGTGTACCAGGCTCTAGTAATGTGGATCCAGTATCGGGCAAGCCCACACACCTCGGCCTTTCCCCTTATTCGCCACTCCAGGGAAAATCCCCCAAATGTGTTCAGCCAAGATTCGAACTCCTGACCTCACCCATTGAGACCTATAACCCAGATGCATCACTACCAGCTAAGCTGGTGATCACATGCTCTTGAAGGAGTTTTGAGTGATAAAAATGAGGTCTCAATGGCTTAATATGTCCCATGCATGGAGTAGGAAGGCCTTAATGGATTAAGACCAAGTATTAAGAACTTTCTGGACGTCCAAAGTGATAAAGTTCGTGACTTTATAGGGCCTAAACACATTTGGTCACTGGATCTGAAGTTTGGGCTTAAGTGCTTAAGCCATTAAGCATTTATTAAGATTTTGGCAAAACGCTACATATGCCCAGCGTATTGGGTCAACCACCCCGATGGTGGTCAACTTCAGAACGAGTACGCCCAGTGTACCAGGGGAGTACTCCCCGCGTGCATCCTCTGTTGGGCTTTTGACATTTGGGCTTCGAGTTTTGGGTTGTTTATGGACTAGTTGGATTTAGGCCTTTGCTGGACTTTATGAATATGATGTTTTGGGCCAAGTGTTAATAATGAATCTTGGAATTAGGCCCAATTAGGGAGAGGGGCCCAATTTGGTAAATTGGGCCAATAATGGGCTTTGCATAAGGACTTTCGAGGTTATGGACTTGGTATTGGGCCTTGGCCCAATAAAGAGAATGGACATGATGGATTGGGTGGACCCTTAGTCAAGACTATTATGTGGTGTATTGACTTGGTATTTATTATGTGATAGTTCGGGATTTCCGGTGAGACAACTATGTATGTAGACATGTTGTGTGGGTAGGGTTGAGGTTGCACTGTCTCGTGCAGTGACCAACAAACCCTAGAGTATGCCAGATATGAGCTGAGGGCCGGGAAGGCATACCAGACTCATACTGAGGACTCATTAGCATACCACATACGAGATGAGGACCAAGTGGTATACTAGACTCGTACTGAGGGCAAGTCATATATGTTTCAGTTGTAGGACTGCAGTGGAGGCAAGCCAGTTGTGAGTTGTGGGCCCGGAAGGCAAGCCAGACTCACACTATGGGCCCATAGGGGTAATCTAGTCTGTAGAGCTGTGGACCCATTGCATGATGTTATTATGTGTGCTGTTTGTTATGTTTCGGTATTTTGGGGGAACTCACTAAGCTTCGGGTTTACAGTTTCAGTTTTGGTTTTAGGTACCTCAGAGGATCGCGGGAAGGCAAAGACGTGATCGTACAGCTCCTCACATTTTATGACTATGTTTCTGGGATACTCTGATATTATACATTTTGAAAACAAGTTTTGTAATGATTAATGGTTTTGAAATGTTTTTAAAAGTTTAAATTTGGCTTGATTTTTATGGGTGTTACAATATTGATCAGGATCGACTTTGAAACAACATGCCCATATGTTTTTCTAAAGATACATAATCATAACAGTATCATAATGGGGAAAATGACTCGTGAGGGTAATTACCTTTTCGTCTTGTTCACATTTAGGGAACTTTTTTTTTGTACACATTTGACCATTTAACTTGTTATATATATTCACATGTTACCATTCTCACCCGAGATAAAGATAGCAGGTGAAATGATAATATGTGAACACATTTAACAAGTTAAATGGTCAAATGTGTATATTTTTTTTGCCTAAATGTGAACATTTTTTTTACAAATTTTTTTAAGACTTTTTATAATTTCTTACAACATTTATATGATATATTTTTTTTCTTATAGGTTTTTTAATACAATGTTTTAAACTTCGCTTATAATTTTTTTTAACTTTTTTTTATACTTTCATATAATTTTCATACAAGTGCTTTTAAACCAAATATTTTCTAAATGTTTTAATTTTTTCTTACAAGTTTTTAATTTATTTTTTACATTATCATGCAATTTTTTATAACTTTCATACAATTATTTCTAAACTTTTGTTAAATACTAGTTTAAAATGTTGTATTAAAAAAATTAAAAAAGTTTATAAACTTCTAATTAAAAAGTATAAAAAAAGTTATAATAATTTTAAAATATTTAGATTATATAGACTTTTTTTGTTATTTTATTTGCTACGTAATATTTTCTTTTTATTTTTTTTAAAAGACCTTCCATATTTTTTTAAAATCAAAATAAAATATAATAGGCTATATAAAATATTTCACAAAAAACATATTTATTAATTAAAAAGTAAAATTTAGAATTGGTCAATATTTAATTAATATTTATGATAATAAATTTTTGTTAAAAATAAATCAGTAAAAAATCGATTTGTCAAATCAAAAGACTATAAATAGGATAAATAATCAATCATTACGAATACTCTAAAAATAATGTTTGGAAAAAATAATACAAACAAATATGAAAAATAAAATCGTTATTAAAAGTGAGGAAAATAATTTATCAGGATAATTAACTTTTCATTTTGTTCACATTTAGGTAATTTTTGTTTTTTTGTACACATTTAACCATTTAACTTGTTAAATGGTCAAATGTATAAAAAAAACGTTGTCTAAACTTAAACAAAACGACAAAGATGATTACTCTCCTAAGTAATTTCCCTATCATAATAAATATCCAAGAATTTAAAGGAGACCAAGAATAACATTCTAAAAATAGACAAATACCTAAAGATATTATAGGACTTCAAAACGACATACTCGATATGTCACAAAAACGTGGCGATTCTAAGAGTTATTTTGTTAAATTCCGAAAAAATAATGATTTAGGAGACACTTTCATTCTCATCCTTTGTTCGTTTTATGAACAACTCTTAAAAAGTAAATTAAAAGTCGAGTACTATTAGTGGGCAACAAGCCCAATGCTAAGCCCAGAAGGCGAAAAGCCCATATCTGGAAACGTTCTTCAAATTACAAAATACAGTGTTATGGATCCTTGCTTCGATTTCAGTTTTCCCGATTTCGTCGCGACTAGAGGTAATTTCTCCCATATCTTTCTAATTTCTGATTGGTATTTGATTAATCAAATCAAATGTTGCAGCTGGATGATTGTCAATGTATTCAAGTTCTGTGTTTTTGCTCGAATCAATTGTGCTAGAGATGTTTAGTTAGGGCTAGGGTTTGCGCTTGTCGTTGGATATCAATTGTAATGTTATTTACTGGGTATTGATTTGTTCACGTCCGCTTCGCGTTCAGTGATCAGCTTCGGGAAAACAACTCTTCCGATGAATCAATGTGTTTTAAGTAGTGCGAAATTCTATATCTTCAGTTGGACTCTTTATGCGTTTATCGGTTTTTGTGCTAAATAATATATGTATTCTAATTTTTAATTATCGCTTCTAGTTTTGCTCGGATGCTGATTCAGTATCCAAAATTATGTTCTTCAGTGTATCGCTTCTTAGCTTTTAAGGTTTAGTTGGCAGAGCCGCCGATTGAAAGCCATGGGCTTTTCATCTAAAGATAAATTAGGGGGCACACTACAAACCCTTGATTTATTTGGTTTCTGTTCATAAAGATTGTCTTTTATGTTATTAGACGTTGCATGCTTTTGTTTCTTCATACTTATGATCATTTTCGGTGGTTTCTTTGATGGCTAGCACTAATTAAACATACGTAGTTTTACAAAGTGGCATTTCTACAGGAAAATGGTTGACACAAAAGAAAAAGTTGAAAACCCAAAATCAAACATAACTCCTGAAAAGGGTGTAGATCAATCAGTTATTCCACCATCGTCTATAATAAGTAGGTTAATCTCTCCCTCTTGACTTTACCAAGCTGCCAAGAATGAACTTTGAAAGAATTGTTTTTGCCTCTTGAATTACAGTCAATATGGAAGATAACAATGAAGAGGACGAAGAAGAGTATGAGGAGGAAGAAGAAGATGAAGAGGAGGTAGAATATGAAGAAGAAGACGATGAATCAGAAGAAGAAGACGATGAATCAGAAGAAGAAGAAAAAGAAGAAGAAGAAGAAGAAGAAGAAGAAGAAGAAAAGGTGAAGAAAGAAGAAACAAACAATGAAAATGCTGTGAAAGAAGATGAGAAGAAAGATAAAGAAGTAAAAAAAAGTGAGGAATTAGGTGAGAATTCAAAGAGTAAAGAAAAGAGGGCTAGATCTAGGGACAAGAGCACAAAGAAGAGTGTTGTGAATGGAGATAATAAATCAGAATCATCAAGCAGAAAGAAAGGTTCAAAGAGGGTTGAAAGCATGGGGATGGTGTTCATGTGTAGTTCAAAAACAAAAACTGACTGTTTTCGCTACAAGATTCTTGGACTTCCTGCAAATAAACAAGATCAAGTAGCAAAGATTTATAAAGGAATGAGATTGTTTCTGTTTGATGTTGATCTCAGATTAATGTATGGAATCTTCAAAGCTGCTGGACCCGGTGGTTATAACATTGAACCAAAAGCTTTCAAATCAGAGTTCCCATCTCAAGTTAGTAGTAGTAGTATTCAACCATTCATTCATTTTTCATTTTTCAAGTTTCTCTTTACTTTGATTATAACTACTGATTAATGATATCTTTTATAATTGAATAAAATCAGGTTCGATTTAGTGTGCTTGATGATTGTTTGCCAGTAGCAGAAGAGAAATTTAAGGATGTCCTTAAAGAAAACTACTACACACGGAGTAAATTTGAAGGCCTCTTGAAAGCCGATCAGGTTCCTTTTTCTGTTTTATATAAATATACATTTCAAGAAATATTTATAAATTACGAATTAAATTTCACAGGTGAAGAAGCTGTGTAAGCTATTTGCGGTTACATCAAAAGGGCAAAATCGTCCTAAATCCGGTTTAAAATCCCGTGGAAGAACACGAGCGATTGAAAATCGTCGAGTTAGATCATCCGATGAAAGACGTATAAGAAACAGGGAAGATGAATCCCGAGACCGGAAAAAACGTAAAATACGCTCTCGAGAGGAAGAAAGATGTTTTCGCCCTCGGTCCCGGTCTCGTTCCCGTTCCCGCTCTCCACCGCGTAGAGAAAAAAGACGGTACAACGACTATGAACGACCGCCCGTTTTGTACGAGCGTGCCGCCCCAGTGGCCGTCAGATACCTGCCGCCACCGCCACTTCCGGTGGTGTCTCCGGCGAGGTCATACCCCTATGACAGACCACCGCCCTATGACCACCGCGCTTACCATGATGAGATGCGGGCCCGGGACTGGGACCGGGACAGGGAGCGGGACCCGTATTATGTGTTTAGTAGAGAGGGTCCTCCTAATGTGTATGCTTTACCACCAGAGTACCATATTGTAAGCAGAGAGTACCACCATCCTCCACCTGCAGTGCAACCACCACCACCGGAGTATCGGTTTTCTGATCGTGTCTCTGATTACCGTGATGTGGGGCCACCACCACCGGAGTATCGTTCTCATCGGACACATTACAGATATTAGAGTTTTATTATGTGAAATGTAAGGCAACATATTGTAATGTTTAGCTTTTGGATTTGGTTATGGCGATGGAGGTTTAGTTTCTAACTTAAAGTAATTAAAAACTACTAGTATCCTTTTTCGTTATTCTTGCGTTCTCATCGGACACATTAGATGATATTTGATTTAATTTTTTGTGTTGCAAAATGATTTTCTGGGTTTTAATCAAAAGTACGATGAAGAATAATCTTACAATTGTTGGAAAATTCAAGTGTTATTTCCATAAAAGATCTTATATTTTGACTTTTATTCTTTTTAGACAGAAAACTTTTTTCTTTTTCCAAAAGACTTAATTTTTACCAACGTTCTAAATAACGTGAGGCGTGGCTTAGCGGCAAGGTAAAAGTTAAGACATGACAAGCCTTGGCGAGCCATGACGTTTTTTAAGGCGTGACTATTTTATATATATTAAAAAAGATAAATCATATAATTATTGATTTTTATCAAGTATATCAAGTTTTTAGAAGTGTTATATTAGTATTTAATATAAAAAGTTAACAAAAACTCAATTATTTTAGGGCCGATAAAAAAAATCGAAAAAAAAAACAAAAAAAAAAACTCGCGCCTTGAAAAAAACTCGCGCCATATCGCGATAAGGCGCGCATTGACACGTTATTTGAGCGTCACACTTAACAAACCCGCCTTAGACGTTTTCGTAACGGCTACACCACGCCTCGCGCCATGGCACGCCTTGAGGCGCGCCATGGCGCGTTTTTTAGAACCATGATTTTTACCTGGTACTTGTTATTTCATACTATAGTAGGTCACCAACAGGTAAATTAGGTATTTTTTTTTTTGTTTTTTCATAAAAGACCCTATATTTTATAGTTATTTTTTCATTTTAGACCTAAAATGTTTTTTTTCAAAATAAACTCAATTTTAAAATTGGTTATAATTTTCGAAACCAAATATATAAGGTACTTCTTGACTATATCGAAAAAGAAAGTATACATGTATAAACTAAAAAATGTTATCTAATCTGTATACAAAAATAAATCTTTTTAGTTTGTCTATTATACTTATTTCATGAGTTTAGACATATTTCCCTCTCTCACTTTTCTATATTATTTTTTTGGTAGAATTTTTTAATCAATTTTTTTAGAAGAGTTAACAAACGCAGTCACTATCATACTCCTAAACCAAAGCCATAGAATATTTTGTAGCATTAGCCCATTATTGAATAATATGTTATAATTATATCAAATACATACATAAAAATATTAATCCTAAACATTCGTAATAGTTTTGTTTAGATATATCAGATTCAAGTTTAAGACATTTTTAAAAAATGTTAACATCACATATAAATACATAAAACTATATTATGGGAATGAAACCATTTGAGCATAAATCATTGTCTATTATTTAAACTAAAAGAATATAATTATGTTTTTTATGCTTTGATGAAATTAAAGCTACATGAACTTGGTGTAGTAAAGAAATAGCTTTGACAACTGCTTTTTTTTTTTTTTTTTTTTAAATATACGTGGACAAAGAATTGTCCAATCATAAATAAATGTAGGCATAATAATTACATTGTTTAAATCGATGTCTATGTTTAAACTAAAAGGATATAATCATATTTTTTATACAACTAGTCTTGAAATAAAAAAACATTTTAGGTCTAAATTGAAAAAAAGTACAAAATATAGGGTCTTTTATGAAATAAAAATACTTAATTTCTTTTTTGGTGACCTGTTAGGGTCTAAAATAACAAATAACAGGTAAAAGTTGGGTCTTTTTCGGAAAAGAAAAAAGTTTTAGGTCTAAAAAGAAAAAAAGTCAAAATATAAGGTATTTTATGGAAATAACCCAAAATTCAAAGCATTTGAATCATTTTTTATGATTTTTTAATTAGATAGGCGTATTGCATTTATGTATGAAGCTTCGTTTTGGCATGCTTGATTGTACACCTCCAAATATCTGGTAATTATTTGTCGATGGACATTGTGGAAGCAAACCAAGATGTGTTCAATCTTAAGTAATACATTTTGTATATGTATTCAATAAGGCCATCCAGAATACCGAGGATGAAGGGTCTCGTGGTCTAGCTGGCCACGAATCATGACCGTGCACACTATCCCGGTGCCTCGTCCTAGGTCGTGATCGTGGTGATTCGTGTTGCCTAAAACGAGCGAGAACGACCAATAAGCAGCTTTCTTCTCTTTGTAGATGTTCAACGGTCCAAAATTTGAAGATATATATATTTTTAATATATAAACGTTACCTATATAAACATAACATTTAACTTTTACATTCAAACCATTCATCTCTTTATAATCTCTTAAAAAACATATTTATGGTTTGTTTAAGAATTTCGATTTGGATGACGACGGATAATTCATCTCGATGTTCTTTAATATTGTGCAACACATACACGATAAAAAAAGTTCAGATGTTTTGCATTCAAGAGCGGTTGTCAATCGAAATCGCCAAGCCGCATATAACTTATTAGTATGTGATTACTTTGTCGATAATTGCCTTTATAATAATGACTCGTTCGAACATCGTTTCCGTCTAAATAAGGTTATATTTTTACGTATTAGTAATGTCGTAGAGGCCCATTATGATTATTTTAAATAAAAACCCGATGCTAGAGGAAGAATGGGTTTTAGTAGTATACAAAAATGTGCGGCTACGCTTAGATATTTGGGATACGGTATAGTCTTTGATGCATCCGACGAGTACTTGAAAGTATCCAAGAAGACCTCAATTGATTGTGTGGATTGGTTTTGCGCATGTGTGTATGAGGTTTATCACAAAGAATATTTACGTAAACCTACTCCACGTGATATTGAGAGATTATATTTGGCTCATGAAGAGAGACATGGATTTCCGAGAATGCTTGGTAGTCTTAAATGTACGCATGCAGCATGGGCAGGGCCGGTCCAGAGGGTGGGCAACCCGGACGGCCGCCCAGGACCCACGTCTCCGGAGGGCCCAAAATTTTTGGGCTATGTAGTGTATATATATATAAAAAAAATTATTATCTAAATGATTTTTAAGGCCTAAAGTTTGTTCAAACTCAAAGTAGCTCAAAAGATAAACAATTTGGATTGTTTGTTATTGCTAATTGAACCAGTCTATAGTGAAGAATAAATAAAATCTTTTTGAATCTTTATTATATTTGTCTTTGAGGGGCCTTTTTTTTCTATTCGTCCCGGGACCTATATACGTTTGGACCGGCCCTGAGCATGGGAAATATGTCCAAATGCATGACGCGATCAATTTAATCGAGGTGATATAGGTGAGCCAAGTACAATACTAGAAGTTATTGCATCTCAGGATTTATGGTTATGACATTTGTTCTTTGGAGTTGTGGGGTCCAACAACGACATTAATGTTCTTGGCCAGTCTCATATTTTCAATAATATTTAGACCGGCAAAGCACCTGATATGTCGTGCATGGTGAACGAACATTCGTACAAATATGGTTACTACATTTGTGATGAGATATAACATGATTATTCTACATTTATGAAGGCATACTCGGTTAAAATTAGACAAAATTGTTCACAAAAAGACAGGAATCAACGAAAAAGGATATCGAGAGAGCATTTGGAGTCCTCAAACAAACATGACATGTACGTGAAATATGATACACGACTTTGGGATAAGGATAAAATTAAACGAATGGTAAATGTATGTATTATAATGCATAATATGATTATTGAAAATGAAGGTAGAACGATTTGCACATGTGATCCGAACGACGTATTTATCCTGAAAGAGTTTGTATCCGAAACGACTGAATATTTATCACGAGTTGTGGACATTCCTAACAGTGAAACGTGTTTCAATCTTCAAGAAGATGTCGCGGAGCATTTGTAGCAACGAAACATGAACAAAAATTAGTTTTTTTTAAATGTTTTGAATGTTAAGTAGTGTAGTTTTTAAATTAATGTAATGTTTTTTAATTGAATGAAAACCTAATTAAAAAAATCTATGTTTTTATTGTATTTTTGAATTAAAAAAATGATGTAGAATGGAGTGTTTAGTGGTAAGTATCTCATACTTCTAGTGATTGGATGTGACATCCACTACTATAATGGTTAGTTGTAGATATTAGAGAGGTGGGTGTGGGCAACGCCCACACGAGTTACTAGGCTAAAAAACAAAAAAACGTCGTTACCAAATGTGATGGTGGTAACGGTAAGTCACGCGAAAGCCTTTAACATGTAATAACGGGAGCGAGGGGCGGTGTTCATTGGCGTTATCACGTGTTATGAGGCACAATAACGGGAGTGGGCGTTGCCCACTCCGAGTAGTCTTATGGATAACCTAATGTGTGAATATGTGGTGCCACGGCTCCATCTCCGCCTCCACCTAGAGCCTAGACAAAACTCATAGTCCGGTATGTAGGACACTAGTAGCCTATTTTGTTGTTTATTTATGTAAGACAAAAATAAATAAAAGGTTCTTATAGTATTTCATATATTTTTTATTTTTTTTGTTGTTCTAATTTTTGTAATGACAAATTTTTAGTTTTATTTTGTTACAAATTTAATCTAAACTATTATCTTTATCCTTATTTTAATTTTTTATTAGTTTTTATTAATATTTTTGATCTATATTAGAAAAGATAAATAAATTAAATGCCCTACCATCCCATCCCAATAAAACCTTACACCCGTGTTACTGTGTTGTCACCTCCTCATCGCCTTCATCTTTATCGACACCTTTTTCCTGGCCTCTAAACTCATCGAGAAACACCACGATTGCATGTTGCCAAACCACCACTCTAGTCATCTCTTTCCTCTTTCCGGTAAGCATGTGAAGGGAAAATCACCGTTGAGAGATCGACCTCCCTTCATTGCAATTGATTTGGAGTCATCTAGCGGTTAATGATGAAGGAAATCAATCACATGGTTTCTTCTTGGTTCTCCCATTTAGAAGTTAGGTTGATACAAACATGGGAAATCCTATGGGTCTAATGTTAGATATTTTCATAACCAAAACATAAACGCGGAAGCATAAACATTGAATCTTTAATCTCGAATCTGATTAAAAGAAAACTTAAACATTAAAGAACGATTACATACCCGATTTCATTATAATCTTCGGATCTGAAGAACTA